AGCAGTGTTCCAATATCTCGGGGGCTGCCACAAAGAAGAGGGAGTCAAGCTATTCTCCAAAGCACCTGAGGGCAGGACAAGAAGCAACAGAGGGAGAGAAGCAACCTAGAACTAAGGAGAAACTTCCTGACAGTTAGAACAATTAACCAGTGGAACAACCTGCCTCCAGAAGCGGTGAATGCTCCAACACTGGAAGTTTTTAAGAAGAGACTGGACAGCATTTGTTTGTAATAGTATAGGGTTTCCTACCTGAGCAGGGGGTTGCATTAGATGACCTCCAAGGTCCCTTCCAACTTCATTATTATTATTGTTAACTAAAGGTTGTAAAGAAGTGATTGACTCCTCACAAGGCAGATTTCCTATGCATGTGGCTGCTTTGATATGCACAATGGAGTTAGTGGAGTTAATTGGTGTTAGTAGCGTCTCATACATGTTGTCTGCTTTGGGTGAAATATCAGTGCAAATCTGTTTTTAAAAATTGTGTGGATTAGAACAGTATTTGGTTGGGAGGAATGAAAATAGTTTCATTCTTAGAGAAATACAATATGAACTTTGGCTAAGCATTGGCCAAAGATTTGGCTAACTAAAATCAGTGGAGACCATGGAGATTTCTTCTTGCTACCTTGCTCAGGTCTCATAGCCATCCAAGTCTATCTTTACTATTGTCTTGGTGAGGTTTTCCTCTGATAAGAATTTTAATTCAGTTTAGTCACCATAAGAGCTGAATAACAGTTTATAAATCAAGCAGAAACTCTTGTCTGGTTTTTATGTCGGTCTTCGTTTCATGATTATCAAAGTCATATCAACAATGTTAAAGATTTATGTACTGATCTGTTCAGGAGGTCACATGGTTTAGGAAGAACATGCTTGTACTTTTTTTCACAATGTAATCTGGAAAAGGGTGTTTTTACATGAATTTGTTTCTCAGATCATTTACTGATTTTTTTTTTATCTTAGTTGATTCTTTGGGATTGGCATGTTGTTTATAATGACTCTCTGAATAAAATGTGTGAGGGATTGTGTGCAGTTACCATTTATGAGTCCTGTTACGTGAAAAAAATTGAGTCTTAAACTTTGTGCTGACGTTTTACTTTGTTCTTACTTCCAGGCAAACAGTAAAATGTCAGCTTCACAAAAAGCTTTAGCGAAAGTTGACAAGAGTGGCATGAAAACAATGTCTTCTTTCTTCAGACCAAAAACTACAACACCAAAATGAACGGAGGAGGGTGCTGTTTGGTGTAGTAATTATCTTGGAAATGTTTTATGAAACTAGATCCTCCTTATAGCTTGCTTTCTTCTCCTATTTCCCCCTATTGTCAGAAGTAGAAATCTATGATACTGGTGTGAATATAATCAAAGTTAATTTTTTTATTTGTTTTAGGAAAATTAGGCTCAATTACCTGCTACAGATAGCAATCTGTCTTCATATCATTATTACTGAAAATTCACAGTACAATGCAAAGCAATGCATTCGTTTTTGAATAAATTATACGCACTTCTTGTTTTTTAAATTGTTGGTGATTTTTGGCTGAGGGAAATCTTACGTGTACATGTACGTCTTCTTTAATTTAAAAACTGGCTGAGTATTATTGTTGGCTGTTGATTTTTATTTTTCCATATTGGTGATCAGGGTGATCTGGGTCTTTGCTTATATATATCTTGAATGATGAATGATTTGGGGTATTTTTTCCAAACTGGGAAAGTTTTAAAGATAGTGCTTTAAGGAGAAGCTGAATTATTAATATTAAGCTTATCAGTACAGGCAGTCCTTGACTTATGACCAGTTGATAAAGGACCATTCAAAGTTACAATGGACTAAAAAAAAAATATTAACAACCCATCCTTGAAATGATGACCGCTGCATCACCCCTGTGGTTATGTGATCACATTTTGGGTGTTGGCAGCCAACTTGCATTTATGACTGGTTACAGTGTCCCAAAGTCATGTGATCAAATTTTGTGATGTTTTTTGACATTGTCCAACAAAAACGCCCATTGGTTAAACTGGATTCGGACTTTCGACCACGTGCTTCGCTTAATGACCACATTACTAGCTTAACAATGATGGTCAAAAGCAGTTGTAAAATCAAGTCTTTGTGGAGTTGGAGGGAGGGCATTCCCTTGTACTTTTTGGAATGAACCCCAAAGCGTAGTGTTGCCTTATTCAAACTAGGTTTTTTTTCCCCCACTGGGGAAGAGGGTTCCATGTTTTCATCCGGCAGGTAGGGATTGCTGTTGGGGGGACAGTATCTGACATATCAATTTCCAGAATGGAATTTCATCTTTATCTTTTTTGCTTCCTTTTAAATTTTATAAACAGTTCTATTTTTTTCATATTTTATTTATACACTACCAGAGTCTCTCTATGAGGGAGATGGGCGGTTTCAAAATTTGATGCATAAATAAACAATCAATAAAATGCAATTCCCTACCGTGGACATCAAAGGATAAATGATAAGCAGCACATAGATTTCCTCTCAGGAAATGTGAGGTGAAGTTAACTACTGTGATATCAAGTCATCCTTACAATCCCTAGTCCGGGAATAGAATTAGCCAAGGCTCAAGGCAAATTATGAGTCACTTACAGAAAGAGCCAAGAATGGTTTGTTTCATTTCTGTTTAATGACAAACAAGATATCTGTGGTGTGAATAAATGGCTTTAGACCAAAGAACGGGGGCTCTGTCCTGAAGGAGGGAGTTTCCAAAATCTTCCTACAAATATTTTCAAAATTTCCATTCTATCCCCAGAACTGGAAATTCAGTTTGCAATTTCTGAGGAGCGCCAAAGAGAACGACTTTTCTGTTCTCTGAAGTAGGTAAACAGTAAGACCAGATTTCCTTCCTCATCGTATTAATTACAATAGAGTATATAACTTCCCTCTCCCAACCACCACCACCATTGTTAAGTCCTCCCAGCAACAGAATAAGGTAATATTAGCAGACTCTTTGTATTGAGAGAAGCAGAAAGAGTGGTTTCTCCCATCTTCGCAGCTGCATGTATGCTCAAAGGTAAGAAAAATGAAGCGTCACATTATATAAACCACTTTTTAAAATATGTATTATCATAAAAAGTAAAAAAGAAAAACAAACAAAACAAAACATACATTCAACACTAGCAACAACAAAAAAGAAAAAAAATAGTGTACAAAAAAGGAGGACAAATTGATCAAATACAGTAAATTTAACATTTAATATGTAGGATCCACCCTGGCTGCTCAACCCCCCTCCCCCCAAAAAAACCCCAGTAAGTCTCCCCTTTTACAACTATATCCAGTGTGTTTTCACTTATTTGCAAGACCACCACATACAATAAAATGAACTGGATTTTGACTATATTTCCAGCACTTATTAGAAATCCCTTTATACATTTTTGCTAGTCTATCGGGGGTCCAGTACCAATTATATAAATCACTTTTTAAGTCTGAGTAAGGTGAGAAAATTACCAGAACTCGCAGAAAGTCCACAGTGTAATGGCAGAACTTTTCTAAAAGAGAATGCAAAGTGCTGAAGGAGTGTGGTTGTCGCCAAGATGTTTTGAAAGCAATGATTCTTTTTCCTCTTGTGATTGTTCTCCATGACAACTTTCAGCTTCTAATAGGTTATCGGAGGGGCAGAGGGAGAACAAAGGTGTGAGAAAAACAATTTGGAATATTCTCATTAAAGTTTGAGCTGTGGCCAGAACCAGTTTGTTAGCCATTCTATGGATCGCCCCCTGCTAATCCCTTGTCAGTTTTCATAGGTGAGAATTGCTATTTTCATAAACAATAATAGTAAAGTTCATGTAACTGCTTGACCAAGTTCAGTTCTTTCCTCTCAAACCTGCAAGTGTGTGTATCTAAACAAAAAAAGCAACTTACAAAACTCAAATATGTAAACAACCCAACGGTTATATCCATGTTATACTTTATGCCAATAGAAAAGAATGGTTCTCTCTGTTCCTTAATAATTGATTGTAGAATATAGGATCGTAAGAAGTAGGGAGTCCCCTGAAATTGGCGTGCTTTGTAACATAGAAATTCTTAGAAATAATTTTCAATTTTCTCATTATAACCATGATTTAAGTGCTGCTGGACGGCTTGTTTCTACTTTTCCACCAATATTTTGACAGTCCCCAATGAGGTGAGTTAGACTAAGAGAGGGGAGGTTCATTTAGATGCAGTAAATCCCCAGGTTCTAAATTTCCTCATTCCTAGATTAATGCTGCTACAGGTATAACGCTGGAAAAGACCACATGTTCTTTGTGATTCCTTCTCCAAACTATGGAACTATGATAAGCAGCAGCAGGCCTAAAATGGCTCCTGAGTAAATCAGACAGATGCACAGTGTAAAAATCATAGGGAATCTGATCTAAGTGTACCACCATGTGACCATCAATGCCTAACCCCCTCCCCCACCTGCATACACTGAGCATACTATACACGTTTTCATGAGATACTACTGAAGAATGCTACTGGGAATTCTGTCATCAAATCTGAGGGATTACTGTATCTAGTTGGTTCCAGAAATAAAGTTTTTAAATATGTAATAATTAGACATAGTATCTATAATAAATGGAGGCCTTCCAGCAAGTCAATTTTTGCCAATCACATCCCACTATAAGTCAACCTTGAGCCGGTGAGAATCAAACTCCTGGCGGTCAGCAGAATTAGTCTGCAATACAGCATTCTAACCACTGCGCCACCATGGATTAGCCCATATCTTTCTGCTATATATTTGTAATGACACTGAATGGTATCAGAAGCAAAAAGAATGGTTACCAGGGCAAGGAATAGAACAGGTTAAGGTAGATAAGAGACTTGACAGATTTTCTTCAAAACTAATCGTATTTGATTGCTGAGATGGAAACCTCTAGAGCAGGGCTTTTCAACCAGTGGTACGGGTACCACCTGTGGTACATTGGCACCTGGCAGGTGGTACGTGACCATCCTAGAAAAGTAGCGGGGGAGGGGAATGAGCTGAACCGGTGGCAGCACTGCACAAGCCTGAGCGAGAGATGGCTGGAGCTGCAGGGCTGTCAGGGCTCAGTGGAAGTACCAGGATCAGCACCAGGCTCCAGCTGGAGCTCAGCGCTGATCCTGGCACTTCTGCTGAGCCCAGAAGAAGCGCCAATCAGTTGGAATGTTGCAGCATCTCCAGGGTCTTGTGATTTACATTCAGATGCTTGGCAACTGATTCATATTGACACCTTGCTAGGCGACTGGTGGTACTTGGATATTGCCATATCCTAAAAGTGGTAAAATGGGTGAAAAGGTTGAAAAGCCCTGCTCTTGAGTACATACAGTACAATTCTGTCAGTGTACTGTAAATGGGCCTCCAATTTTCTGACATGCGATTGTAGAATTATGAGACGGGACTGACTTTTCAGAATATCAGTGGTAGTTGAGCCTCGGAATTACAGTAAAAGACATTGCTTGGGGGATATACAAATTTTTGCTAAATTGGTATCCTCCAACTATGGTGGGACTACTGCTGCAATATTCCCATTGATCAGTCTGGCAGTTGAAATTTAAAATCTCATTACAACAGGTTGAGGAAGACACTCATAGTAAGAACATCTCTGATGTATGTGTACGGGTAGTCCTCAACGTATGACCACAGTTGAGCCCAAAATTTCTGTTGCTAAGTGAGAAATTTGTTGAGTGAATTTTGTCCCATTTTACGACTTTTCTCACCACATTTGCTAAGTAAATCACTACAATTGTTAAATTAGTAACATGGCTGTTAAGTGAATCTGGCTTCTCCATTGACTTTGCTTGTCAGAAGGTTGTAAAAGGTGATCACATGACGCGAGGACAACGCAACCATCATAAATATGAGTCAATTGTCGAGCATCCAAATGTAGATCCACGGGACCATGAGGATAGAGTCATGTATGAAAAATGGCCATAAGTCACTTTTTTCAGTGCCATTGTAAATTGTAAGTTGTAAGTTGAGGACTGCCTGTATACACACACACAGGCACGTACACATGCACACATGTATGCAAGCACACACAACACATACACACATATTATATTACATACCATTGCTAGGAACATTCCTAGAAGTCTCTTCAAGCCGTCCCATTATTTCATCCTCAGTAGCACTGAGATTTTGTTTCAGGAAATAGGTTGACATTTTCCCTTTGCCTTTCACCTCTATGTTTCCCCTTTCTGCTATCTCAAACACTTGAGGAGGAAGTGCTCTGTGCAGGGCAAGAAACAACAAGAACAACATATAGAGTTCATGACTTACTGCTAACTGGCCATAGCTGGCTAGCACCGTACAAAGTTATAAGCCAACAAACCATATTTTGGCTTAGCACAATATGCAGAGCAGATTATGAGATTTAATCCTGGCACAGTCAAGTTCCTGTCTGATGGATTTGATATTTCATTGCAAGCCCTTACTTACTTGAATGTTGTGGAGCTGATATGGATTTTGTCTGGCAATCCATGACTTTCCATCCTGGAAGCTGTATTGACGGTATCACCAAATAAACAGTATCTGGGCATTTTCTCCCCAACTACACCAGCCAACACTGGTCCGGTGTGTATCCCAATTCTAATCTGTTGAGAGAAACACAATATGCAAGACACAGTGTAGAAGAGGTTCTTGTGGAAATATATTCCTTTAGTGGGTTCTGGAAGAAAACCAAATTATTCTTTTAACTCTTTTTGGGTGTGTGTGTTTCTTACCATTTCTCATGAAGAAGACGTCAGAGATCCATTTATATAAATAATCTTTCCCTTGCAATTGTCCCATCAGGGCCCTCATCTGGAACAGGGATTGATTTTGTGTTTTAAGATTTGTTACATATTGTTCATAATTTGGGGGCTTTATTAATGTTTTCTTTCTTTTTTATGTATCTCAGCCACCTTAGAAGGGGTTTATCATTAAAAACACCACAGAGATATTTCAAATAAATATTTTAAATAATATTGAGGAAATGAAAAGCTTGCCTTGCTTATATTTAGTGATTTTAGTTGGTTGAACAGAAGTTGTCTTGGCAGTTATTTATTGGGAGTAGTTTCTACTCAAATTTAGAAAAAATAAACTCAGCAGGCTCCTGATTTAAGAAATGCCTGTAGGAGGGAAGGGGAACTGAGGGATGAAAACAAACAAATCCAGAGACTTATTCCTTATATCAGGGGTCCCCAACCTATGGGCGTGGCCCAGTACCGGGCTATGGCCTTCTGGCCACTGGGCCGTGGGACAGGCTGGCTAGTGCGCGCATTCACCCAACCTGTGCTAGGGCTGCTGCCACGCAAACGGGGTGCTGTACAGTGAAAACAGGACACCCTGTGGCAAAAATGGGGCACCACGCAGCAAAAGCGGGGTACTGCACAGCAAAAATGGGGCGCCACACAGCAAAAATGGGGTGGCACTAGCACCCACGTGGCAAAAATTGGGCGGTGCTAGTGAGCGTCATGTGGGTGCTAGCACCGCCCCGTTTGCGTCACGTCTACTCAGTTGGTGTGTGTGCGCGCATAAAATGCTTCCCCCTCCTTTTCCCTCTGGCCCACCAACCAAGAAAGGTTGGAGAACTCTGTCTTATATGATACGTCAACATTTAGCAGATAGAGTAGCCATATAAAAGAAGACCATTTCAGGAAAGGAAGAAGAAAACAATTGGTGCCTGCTATGATCATTCTCTCTTCTCTCTGCTGCATGTGAGATGGCTTGATCTTTTTCTTTTGTTTAAGTCTTAAAACTATGAATTACCTGTATAGGTCTAGTGGTAATAGGGTTCATAACTTCTCTTGCAGCAATTCTCATGCCAAGGGCAAAATTAGCCACCCTTTCAGCATGACTGGCAACTGGGACTGGAACTCCTCCTACAACCATGTAGGCATCACCAATGGTTTCCACCTATAAAGCAAGATGCATAGTGAAGTACGCATGGACACCCACCAACCATTTGCCTAGGCTGGCATGCTGGTGCCCGCCAGATGTTTGTATTGCAACTCTTACATTCCACTGCTAGTTGGAGCTAATGGGAACTAAACTTCCAAAAGTTCTGTAAATGAACATAGCAATCATATCTCCTTATTCATTTATTTTATTTAATAAATGTATTTGCTGCCTATGTCACCGTGGGGATAATCTAGGCAGATTACTCCTATTTCTTTCATTTTACTTGGGGAATCGTTCATTTTACTTACTACAATGCTTTCTTTTTTTAAAAAAAAATCTTCTATTTATTAATAATTTCTAAAAGAAAAAAGGACAAATGAACAGGTGAAAGAAAAGAAAACATGGGGAAAATTGATGGAGAAATATAATATTCAGTAAGTGGATTATTGAGATTGTAGTTAGTGCTCAATATATTGTTGATGAGAAATTAACTATAAAAACTCAAGTACATTAAAAATATGAGAAAGGATTTGAGTTTCTGAAATGTCAAAATGCTGACTGATGCAGCTAGACAGGTATATTTCATTTGCCACTAAGCAAACAGTGGTTGAGACATCGGATTGCCCTGGCTAATCAATAAAAATACATTATATATAGTAGTTATCCATGTCTTTCCCAATCTTATACTTTCCATTCACATGTGATTGCAATAACATTAATAGCAGTAGCAATAGCCCTTAGACTTATACACTGCCCCATAGTACTTTATAGCACCATCTAATCAGTTTACAGAGTCAGCAAATTGCCCCCAGAATCTGGGTCCTCATTTTACCAACCCTGGAAGGATGGAAGGCTGAGTCAAATTTGAGCTGGTCAGGATCGAATTCCAGGCTGTGGGCAGAGTTTGCCTGCAATACTCCATTCTAACCACTGAGCCACCACGGCTCTTTTAAATTAAAAAACTGTTGCCAACATTTGTTAAAATCAACTAATTCAATTCAAACCAAAAATATCTCATTAAACAGCTAGTCTGGCCAATTGCTGGAAATTCTGGGAGTTCCAATCCAAATGTATTTGGGTGGTACCAGGTTGGGGATGGCTGTGAGAGCAGATCAATCTCTTTGCAGGAAGGGAAAAGTGGAGGGAATGGTTGCAAGCCAGAAAATTGCTAAATTATACCAAGCAATGTCTAGTCTTGAAGTTGGTGTAGGAAGCTTGTGGTTTTCAGGATTCATTCTCCCTTCTTGCTGCCAATCTAAAATTATCCATCCATTCATCATATGCCCTTGGGCTGCAAAAGACAGCAGCAAATGTTATAAACATCAGCCACACTTACTTTATAAACTCCATGGATGCTAGTCAGTCGATCAAACTTGGAATACATTAAATTAAGCATGTTCACGATCTGAATAGGTTCACAGACAGAACAGATGTTTGTGAAAGTCACGACATCACTGAAAAGTATTGTGCAGCAGCCAAAATCTCCTGGGGAATAAACAAAAAAAGAATAGTCAATTTTCAGAAGCAACAGCTTCTCTGTTTTTGGTTTTTAATATGGCAAGAATAAAATACTCAATCAAAAAGTCCAACAATGGTTAATCGAAAATGATCTTTAACTATTGTTGCCACTTGCCTGAATCCTACTAAAAGCTGGAAAAAAAATCGCAGCATATGTGACCTCTCAATCATTAATATATTGTAAAGGTGTGCATATTGATGGATTGACCCCAGAGGTTTAGATGCTAGGCTTTATTGAAATAAGTTGATTGACAAAGAAACAAATTCTTGTGTCATTTCAGAACACACGAGTCTGAAAGCCTTTCCTTTACACCTTCTAAAATAAGGTGACCAACCATCCTCCTTTAGGGAGGACAGTCCTCCTTTTGTAAGTTCTGTCCTCCCTCGAAAAGTGTCCTCCTACATGTCCTCCATTTCAATATTTGAAGACTAATCTGCAGGACTTTTTTTTTTTCATAGAACGCTCAGAATGGTGTTCCGGCACCTTTTTTTGATGTTCTTTTTTCAACTTTTGCATGAGCTGTGCTACTCCCCCTATTGGCTTTCGAAAGCCAATAGGAATTGCTGCTGAGCGCGGCTGGCAAATTTTGCACATGCAAGTTGTCTGCAGCGAAGGCGAATTGGCAGGAACTTTGCACCCCTCCCTGCTACCCAACTACACCATCTCCTAATTAGTCCCGAAGATACCTGGAGGAGACTGGAGCGGCAACGCCACAGTAAGTTTCTCTTGATCTTCGGCCCTACTAGGGCAATAATGGATGCGGGCGTAAGAGGCAGGGGAGGCGGGGCTGCTGCGGGCGGGGGTGTGACGTGGTGGCGGCCGGCTGCCCCATGCTGTGGGAGCCGCGGGGCCCGCTCTACACGGGGCTGCACAGGGGCGGCGGTGGTGCTGGCGGGGCGGCTGCAGGTGGGGTATGTCGACGGTGGGTTGCCCCCCCGGGGCCGGAGCCGGCGCAGCTGGTGCTTTCGGAGCCGCGGGGCCCACTCTGCATTTATCATATTATAGTGTATTCTGTATTATTGTTGCAATGAATAAAATGTTTCTTTTATGTACGATATTTTTTTTCTTCAATTTGTGTCCTCCTTTTCATTGTAAAAAAGTTGGTCACCTTATCTAAAATCTAGTTTACAACAAAGTTTAGAAACACACACAATTGGTCTAATAATGTAAGTAATAGCATGTAAATCCCTAGACAACAGATGAATGATCTTGAAAAAAGTCATGTTTGTATGTCCACCCTTTTGAAGCAACAAGGTGTATGTCAAACCAATGGCTATTATCATTTTTGTTAAAATTATGGAGACTGCCCATAGTGTAGTTTTGTACTTATCTGTAAAGTAAACATTGTGGAAAATACCTGTGTGCTAAATATATGTCCTGTTTTTACTTGGTTCCCAGGAAACCAGATCTCTATGCAAACCAAGTCCAAGCACACAAAATCTTAGCTTAGAAGGGAGTGTTTCCAGATATTCAGTTGAAGTCCTTACCCTTCCAGGACATGCCATTTTCTATTTGATAATCAAAGATAATAAAATGGCCATACCTGCTTCGACTTTTTTGCCTTCCTTCAGCTGATTAGCCACATGTTTTGGTAACATGGCATAGAGTAAAGTTTCCGATTTCTTCTTTTCTATCTCTAGGTTCTTAGAGAGAATCCTAAGCTCTTCCTTTTTTCTCTCTAGTTGGTTGGATAGTTCTATCTCTGCCAGCCGCTGCTGGTTGAAGAGGATGAGGTCTCTTGTTGGGTCATGCTGGGCGATGTCAGAAAGGTGCATTTCTTGTTCTTCTAACTCATCTAAACTGCGGAGCTTTGGTGAGCACAAGTAAATCATGCTGTGAATGCAGTCCATCCAAATCATTTGTCCTTTTCCAAATAAACACATTATACAATGCTTTCCATTAGGCTTAACCTATGAATTATCTGTATCTTATCTAGATAACTGTCAGTAAACTGAATGTGAAGATTATAAATTCTGTGGGCCTAGTGTCTAGATTTCACAGGTTTTGCAAATGCTTCAATACCCTCTTTTATTTGGGGTTTAGAATTTAGGATTACTGTATGCTAATTTTATTCCTCCTTCTATTTTTCTTAAATTTCAAAAGTTCACAGAAAATTTGTACCTCTGAGCTTCAGCGCAGTCCGTTTCTTCACTGACTTGGACATAATTTCTCTCCTTATCTTGAGAACAAACTGGCTGTTGATAAACTTTTTTATGCTGGAAATAGTGAATGTGACTTGTGGATGAATAATAGAAAAATACTCATCTAATCTGGTTCCACTTATTTGCAATCCGGGTACAAATTTCTGAATATTTACACCGGCCTGTTTGATTTTCAGCTGAGGACAGAATTAAAAAGTAATTTCAATAACTAAAAAAAGACTTTTTAAACCTTCTTCAGAAACAATGGGTAACAAAACATTACCGGAAAATTAAAGTGGAGCCATTTGAAACATATTTTTCATATCACTGTAAAACTGGGTTTAAGACTGGATTCTGTGAGGGCCCACACAACAGTCAGTAACTTCCCACTTGCACACAATCTCAGCTTCCTTTTTAATGGTTGTAGGCATCTTCTATAATGCTGGTATATGATTAGCATACCAGTGAAAATAACTATATGAGTTCTCAGTTTTTTGATGAAAGGAAATGGTAAATAAAGTAATGCATTAAGCCTTTAATTCTTACAATATCTATTTTATCTATTTTTTTTAAAAAAAACCTTGCTCCCAAACAGTGCCTCTAGTAACATCTCAATATCATTGTCTCACACCTTGCAAGTTATGATAGCCATTTTTTCCAAGCCTAATCATCACCTGCATGACTGCCCTGCCTTGACTTTACATATTTTTACTAATTTTAATAATTTATGTACTGTTGCAGCAAGTGTTGGTCTAATAGAAACGACTAAGCATGCCCACACCAGCCCACCCTCTAGCTCAATGGTGGCGAATCTATGGCACGGGTGCCAGAGGCGGCATTCAGAGCCCTCTCTGTGGGCACGCGTACCATCGCCCCAGCCCCGCCTCCTCCCATGGCCCCCTCCTCACCAGCAGCCCCCCCCGAGAGTCACCCTCGAGCATGGCCCATGTGGACCAGTGCAGCCAAGGACATGGTAGCCGGGCAGCAGTGACATGACACCTCCCTTGCTCTCTATTGCGCGCAGTTGATGCTGTGGGGTGCAGGTGGAAGGCGTGGCTGCCATAGCACTGCTGGGCCGCCTGGGTGATCTGCGGCAGACCATAGACGCGGTGGATGACCCTGTGGGTGGGGGCGGAGCTGGGGCAGAGTGGGCAGGGGTAGGGGGCGGAGCAAGGGTGGGCAGGGGTGGTGGGGAGGGGCCGGTTTTTGGGCACTCGGTCTCTAAAAGGTTCGCCATTACTGCTCTAGCTGAATGGTTAAGTCCAAAGAATCCATCCCAAAGTTTCCTTACTGTTTCATCAAACACGAGGTGGAAAGGAAATGCGTGGCAGAAGGTTCTCTTGTCAAGCCAAAGCCGCTCGGGGAACAATGGCTCAAAGGTATGTAGAAGGTTTCCTGTAGAAAAGAAACATTTTTTTTCCTGGAGATTGCTGCCTTCTCCCACCTGATCCCCCAGTCCCCAGCCAGCACGACTAACAGAAGACATCCGTTTGGGAAGGTCTTGCGGACAATTTCTGGATTAATTTCCACTTTATATTTGCTTATCTTTCACTTCAGTGATCAATTGAAATAATGCTATCATTTTGTCAAAGAACTGCACTGAGGTCGGTGTGGTGCAAGATCTCTGTTTTTACAAAATGGAGCACCAGTGGCTCTCCCTTTCGCATGTAAAGTTAATTCCCTGAATTAGTATTTTTCTCAACCATTCAAACAGAATTTCCTTAATTATCCCTCCAAATTTGATAAATTTCACTTGAAATGGACTGGCATCTGTAGTTCCTATGATTCTATTGAGAGCAAAGGTAGCCTCCCTTTACTTCACGTGTCTCCAACTCCCGGGCCACGGCCGACTACCAGGCCTCGGCCTGTTCGGAACCAGGCTATGTGAATGGTGAGTGAGTGCGCTTGTGTATGCAGCTCCACTTGCACAACCGGCGAGTGCTCGCACTTGTACACGAAGCTCCATTTGTGAAAGCAGTGGGTGCACACACCTGTCACTCCTACAAAACCATCCCCTCTCCCCTCCTCCCCACCTGGCTACCAAGCCAAAAGGTTGGGGACGGCTGCTTTACTTGGATCGTTGTTATTTTGGTTACATGGAAGAAGACAAAAGCTAGCCTACATAAATTGGAGCTTGACCTTGAATCGGCTGAGTTTTCTGCAGAAATGAACTGCATGATTTTGGACAGCTTTAAAAATGGAATAAAAGGTTTTTTTTTTTAAAAGAAACATGACATTCCTGAGTATTCAGATTCCCAAGTATTTAAAATCACACGACAGACTTGACAAGTGTGCTAGATAGGCTAGCCCTTTGTATGACATAAAAACATCATCTTTTACTACTGTCAATTCTATGGAGACATTTATTTACTGATTTATTGAATTTATTTGCCACCCATCTCATAGTCAGTGGTCAAGTCTGGGTGGCTTCCAGCATTAAAATCTTAAAACCTTAACACACAAATATCTTTTAAAGAATAAAAATAGAACTCCCAATCAAGATAAAATTATTGTCACAAGACAGAGAAGGAGGGATCCGGATGCCCAGGAGGCAGGGGTAGGGGGGATTACCTCTTAATTCATCACTCACCTCCACTGTGATGCTCCCCCATTGGGTACCCAAACCATCTGGCAGAGCCAGGTCTCCGGGCCCTTACAGAAGGTCAGAAGGATGGAAGCCAAGATGTTCCAAAGGGCAGGAGCCAGGGCAGAGAAGGCCCTTCTCCTGGACCATCCCAGCCGTAATTTGTTGCTACATAGAGCAATTATAAACGGTACCATAAAACTGAGGATGCATTCTATCGAAAACTATGCAACTCTTGTCTTGTTAATCAGCCACATCCTCTCATCTGATCTTTTTCTGTAATACTGCACATATTCAGCAAACTCAAGACTTTTGCTTGTATTCTTGAGATCCAGATTTCATCCATCACTTATTTACTAACTTACCTGCCTTAGAATTAACCGCAGGTCTCAAAACATCACAGTAAACCTTCCGCTCAGCAGTTTTTTCCTTTTCTTTTTGAAAAACCGCATCCTGTTGTTGAAAAGAAAATGATATATTAAATCATCTCCAAAAGAGTTTTCCTATGATTTGTGAACACAGCCCATAATTTAGAAATGTCCCTATTTCTTCTGCTCTGTATCAGCTCCTCTGCTCTTTCTATAGAATGAAACATCATCACCTCTTTGTCCTTCTGAGACCCATCTTCACATGCAGAAATTGCTTGTTTCTCGATGTTGGGCTTCACTGTCCCATTTGTCTGTAAAATAAAAAACACCACATGCTCCTTCTTCCCAGTGCGCTCCTCTTCTACATTTTGTTCAAGGATCTCCAGGGACACTTCACAATCAAAGAAATCTCTGGCTACTGCTTCAATAATTCCTATGTAAGAAAAAAAATTAACAACCTATTTTAGGGCAATATGTGAAACCCTTCCAAAGTGGCTCAGCTCTTAAGAAACTTCATGAAAGTTTCTTATCCCTTTCTCTCAATAACAGCCACATAGCTTTTAAAAGCTTTTCAGGTTTAGAGCAATTTTCTCCCCCATCACTGTTTTTCCAAAGTTCTTCGTTGCTCAAGAAAATTATTCAAACCTCTTAACAAGCTTCGCAGTTAAGTCCAAAAACATGAGAAAGAAATGGGAATCTTTCTTAGGATTCAGGGAGGATTTCTAGCAGGATGAGATAGAATTTAACAAACTGGAAACCCAGCATATAATAATAGTTTTAATTATAACACACACACACAAACAAACTAAACATTCTAGGGCAGACATGTCAAACTCACGATGTCACATGACGTTGTGCAATTTATCGGGACTGTTTTGCCATTGCCGGCAATGGAGTGGGAGTGGCTTCCATGTGACACGTCGGGTCCATGGGCTGGCAGTTTGACACCCCTGTTCTAGAGCTTTTTTCTTAGACCTAGTACTAAGGTTGCTGATCAAACAACTGGTTGCAGGTGACTTAATCTGATTTCAGCTTTGCTCTGTAAATATCTGAACATCCCACTCTCCATCTGCCTTCCCCCCCCCCCCCNCCTCTAAAAAGTATCTATTGGAATGAATAATTATGAATGATCACATTTGCACCAAATTATATTCTAAAACATTTTAAAAAATCGATGGCACAAATAGGGGGCCCTTTATGCAAGGGCATAAGACTTGGAATAGAGGGGAAGGGTGGAACAGCTATGTCAAGGTCACAGGGGTTATTGAGCTAAGTAAAGAAATCCCATCAAACCCACCCACCCTGGCCCAAGTAGTCAATTCCAATGCTCAGTATACCTATGGAAAGGTCGTATAATATACATTCCATTGTGGAAATGGTGCCTTGGTACCTGGGACAATGTGACACAAGCCTTTTCTGTCTGAATAATAGTGGAGGAGCATTATCCCATCTTTCCTTTCCACTCGAAATGATGGTGCATTCATTTTCTAGGGAAGGACAAAAATCTGTTTCATTTTCTTCCAAAACTCCTTAGAGCCTATTCTAATACCCACCCGCATTAAAAATTCAATTTTATCTTTGCTGCACAATTTTCTTTCCATTCAATATATAATCCAAAGGCCAACGTAGAGGAATAGCAAAAGAAGGAATGCAAATTGCAGAATGACAAAGGCATGGGGGATGATTTTCTGTTGGTGAATAAGAACTTGACAATTTATATCTGAGATTTGTTCATAGTACTGGAAACATTGGAGGATGTCTCATGTTTCAGTAACAGAATCAAACTCTGATTCATAACTGTTTGGACCTGTTCGTGTTATATGCAATTTTATTCCAATTTTCTTTTCACAATGAGTTGTACACAAAAAGCTCTCTCCTTCTGTTCATTTTCTCATACTTTTTCTTAAATACGCCCACTGCTGAGGCATATTAGTGCCTGTAAAAATTATTTGTCACAGTTGAGAATGACTATGACATGAACTGAAAGGTAATTAATTTCTATTTTAAAATAATTCAGTGGCAGAAAGAAACATTTTTCATGTAAATGACCCTTCTATCCCTTGGCTACAATTGCTTCATTTCAGTATTAATGCAAGACGTTTACAATTATAATGAAAACAGTAGCTCAGCCTTCCTCTGATTATAATTCCCCAAATTCCTGGAAAACATGCATGGCCCACTGGGAATTCAAAGTGTTTTAGTCTAGGCATCTATTATATTTCATGTCCTACAGGTAGCTCTATGAAGGCAGAGTAAGCTTATTGCAATAAGAAAGAGGATAGGTTACAAAATTTTGGAAAATAGAAATGTGTATCTTTTCAGTAAGTTTCTTATAGCAGGACCAACCTGTCACCTTTGAACTTTTAAATGAGTTTTGGTTTAATGGGGAAGATGCTACTCACTTGTTTTTCTGTTCTTGTTCTACAATAGTTTGAAACTGTCTATTCTGTCACACCAAAATACAAAAAACAGGTACCTGATAGGACAAAGCAAGGTAGCTATGTAAGGAATCCAGATTCTCAATAAACTCCATCAAATTTCCTCCTAGTGTCCGTAACATTTTATCATATCCTGATGTTTTGCAGAAATTAAAAAAATATTGCCCAAAAAGCTTCAGCACTGCCTCCTCTGGCATTTCTGCATGGGGAAAAAAAAAAGCAGATTCTAGAATACTGGCATGTATATAATGGCACAGCAGAAAGTATGTGCCTTTTCTCATGAACCTGCTTTGCTTTCTCTTTCCATGATACCTTCCTTGGTGATACCACAACTTCAAGACTTCATTCAGTTCCTCCATCCAGGAATAAAATCTGCAACACAAGTGCCTGACCAGCCTAAGAAGAGATTCACATTTACAATTTGATTCAAGGGCTCTTAAGAGTTGACTAAGGACTTTTCTTTTTTAAGCCTTATTATTCTTGGCTCTTTTATGACTTGTGGACTTCAACTCCCAGAATTCCTGAGCCAGCATCTAGTCTGATAATGGATCCAAACTGAGTTAGAATCTCCAGCAACTGTTAACTTGATTCAAAGAGAGAAGACACATAATGTAAAAAGTCTATCTGTTCAGCAAAATATATGTGCATACGTGCACAATGTCCATTGATTCTTGAAATTATTTCAGAGATTCAATTTGATAAAATCATCTTTGAATTTAATAGTGGCATTGAAACTTTACATAACCTGGTAGGCAGCTCTATTAAGACAATTGAGATGGCACAGCTGGGCACAAAACAAAAAAATAATAATCCAGGAACTTTTCATGTGTTAATCGACATAACAAACAAATATTGCAATCAGTAAACCAAGTGCAACCCATAGTTCCAAATTGCAAGATAGTACTTGAAAACAAATCATAGTTTATCTGCCAGTCCTTTTCCTATATGTTACTATGATGAAAAGGAAGAAATTTAGTGTAATATGAGAGCAGCACAGACTGCAATAATTTAAGCTCCTTTAAATTAATTTGTTTAATAGTATTGAACTCAGACAATTAATTTTGTGGAAACAAAGGACTGAACTGCAGGACTCTTGAGGTTTAAAACGATGCCATGATGGAACAGAAATATACTGTAGGAAAAAATTCAACTCAAAATGAATCAAATTAAACAGAAGAGAAAATATTTTAAAATGTAATTAAAATATAAAATGAAAAAGGATTTTTAAAAAATGAAAATAATTACTAAAACCTGTAAGAAAGGAAATAAATATCTTTGTTATAGTCAATGACCAGAACTATATGCAATTATATAAGGTAATTAGAATAAAACGAATTAAACTGTAGAAGTAAAATAAGGCATTACGTGAAATCTAAAAGACACACAACTAATTTTCTAGGTTGTTAGAGCTGTTAGACAAATGATTACAAATGTGTTAAAATACAAAATAAAGCAGTGTTAAAATACTTTAATTCTAATTCAATCGTTATTACAGTTTTAAGAGATAATTGTAGGGAGATGTGCAAGAGTAGATAAGTATAAATTTATCTGGGATCACTGACTACAGCGTTGCTTAACATTATATAGCCTTAAAATGATGATAGCTTCAGAATTCTTCCTACCACATCCATAAGCGGGAATAACACTATTTCTTGGCAAACAGTAAATTAAAACTTGTAATTATCTCAGTACTTAGCATGTTGCAGGCTTCTTGGACCAACTTCACAGTCAAAGAATCATCATACACTGTATATGTCATAAAAGTGTCTTCAGTTCCAACCTGGGCTCTGTGACAATACCAAAGAAAAGATCTAATATAAAATGAATATGGAACACAATTTGCCACCTGGTTTGTCCTATTTGGCTAAAGCAAAACATTTTACAGATATTTAGAGTGCAAGATTTAATTGACTCCAAATAGTTTACTCAATTAACTGGGTAGAGATGTCTGAAAGCCATTCTTTTTTAAAGTTAAACCCCCTTAGCCAAAAGCAGTGTTATGGCTTGCTACGTTTTGGAATCTAGTGGGGCAATTACAAAGTCAGCTTATACATTAACATCAAAGAGACTTGTAGCAATACATAATCAGGGCTTTTTTTCTCATAGAACGCCCAGAACGGAGTTCCGGCACCTTTTTTGGATGGAACCTTGTAGGGTAGGCAAGGCGGGTTGTATGACAAGTGTGAGTTCCGGCACCTTTTTTTTTTTTTTTTAGAAAAAAAGCACTGTACATAATAAATGGGTTGTGGCAGAAATGAATGTGGATTATATCCTGCTCTTAACCTGAAGCACAGACTCTTGTCCTAAATGCACCCAACCCATCCTCTGGAATACAGGTATCTCCTTGGTTCCATGTTCTTGCTTTACTAGTGATAAGGCTGTGGGGGTATAAATATTTACTTGAGCTTTTCCCATGTTTCTTCACCAAATTTCTCTACCAGGAGGGACTTCAGGCAGGAGTTAATAAACCCATACTAGAGAGAGAGAAAAAGGAAGGGGCAGAGAAATTCTCATGAATGTCCTGTATAAACATAACATTGCATATGCATACGTTCCACCAAGCTGTGTTATTTTATGTGGAGTACTAATATTATGTGAGAAGGAGCTTCTTTCTGGCCATCCCCCCCCCCAATTACTTAATTTGATAAATTATCCTGCTATCCTTGCAGCCATATGCCATTACCCAAAGAGAAGACTTGGAAAGAAGACTTACCATGACACGGTTATGTCACACTAGGTAGGACTGTTCTTCTTGGTGCAGGTGACTTATTCCTTATAAAAGCTTGAGGACCCAGTATTTAAATATCGGGTGAACGTAGATAGGAGGGTCCATAGGGAAGGCTGTGTTGACTTCTGCCTGTTAAATTTCAGTAGAGACTTTGAATGGCCATGGTTGGGGAAACTGAGCGAATCGAATTCCCACGAGTATTGACGCATATTTTGAAATCAAAATATGTTTACTTGTTTAGCTTTGCTGTTCTTGTTACGATAATTCAGCACAGAAATCATGGAACATTTCTTAATAACCAGATTTCCAGAAAACATTGCAGACTACAGGAACCATTTGTGCTTCAGTATGAGATGCAGACAGCACAGAGTCATCCCCAACAGCCTGCGCCTGTCTTCAACAGTGAAGGGTCACAGGGCAGAACACATCCTGCAGCCTAGAATGCTCTACGCACATTTGTACTACTCAGGTGACTTTGAGGACACAGGTAAACCTTCAAATGGCTTCAATGAATCTCTAAAAGAATGCAAATGACCAGCTATCTACAAGGACTATAATATCCTTCCATTCCCCACCATCCAGTCAGAGCTGAAGAAGCTTCTTGGATGAGAAGCAAAATGTCTTCAAAGAAAAACAAGGAAATCCAGTTGCCTCCTAAAAAAGCACCTTTGGAACAACCATGACCCAAATGAGTGAGAACCTCCATAGACATTTGTTAATAACAGAGTGAAATTGTGCAAGACATATTAATGGATAAAATGTTGTGTCTGCTGTTGTAAAATCAGCATGCACATTTTAACCTTCTTCAGAGTCAACTTAAGCTTTCCTTTCTGCTCATTCACCCTGGTGGTCTTCCTCTCGGGCCCCCTATAGTTCAGTCCCAGAGAGTGTGCTGCAGCAAAGAACAACATAGTTCTTCACACTGAAGCCATCTGGACTGGTATTTTAGTGGTGTGGCATTCTTCATCATAACTGGGGGACACAGCTTGGGGACACAACACAGTCATAATTCTGACCTGCCAATGATGATCTGATGATCTGACCTGCCAATCCTATTTTTCCCCCCTCTGTCAATCTTTTTCCTTTGTCTTTTCCTACCTTTCCTTGTGTGTTCTCTTTCAGAAAATGGCAAGCTGAAAGAACCATTTTATTTACTGCCTCTTTTCCATATCAAAACAATGGATGGAAACTACTCAAGGGGAGAAGCAACCTGGAATTAAGGAGAAACTTTCTAACAGTGAGGACAATTAACCAGTGGAACAGCTTGCCTTCAGAAGTTGTGGGTGCTTCATCATTGGGCGTTTTCAAGAAGAGACTGGACAGCCACTTGTCTGAAATGGTATACGGTCTCCTGATTGAGCAGGGAGCTGGACTAGAAGACCTCTAGGGTCCCTTCCAGCTCTATTCTGTTCTAGAGATCTCAGTAAATTCTAGGGCACGCCTTCAAAACTACCATCAGATTTCCTATCTTTTCAGGCATTCACTGCCCCAGGCTTTGAGAGAAGTAATAATAATAATAATAATAATAATAATAATAATAATAATAATAATAATAATAATAATAATAATAATAATAATGATGATGATGATGATGATGATGATGATGATGATGATGATGATGATGATGATGATGATAAAGTTGGAAGGGACCTTGGAGGTCATCTAGTCCAACTCCTTGCTCAGGCAGGAAACCCTATACCATTTCAGACAAATGGCTGTCCAGTTTCTTCTTAAAAACTTCCAGTGTTAGCGCATTCACCGCTTCTGGAGGCAGGTTGTTCCACTGGTTAATTGTTCTAACTGTCAGGAAGTTTCTCCTTAGTTCTAGGTTGCTTCTCTCTTTGGTTAGTTTCCATCCATTGCTTCTTGTCCTGCCTTCAGGCGCTTTGGAGAATAGCCTGACTTCCTCTTCTTTGTGGCAGCCCCTGAGATATTGGAACACTGCTATCATGTCCCCCCTCGTCCTTCTCTTCGTTAAACTAGACATACCCAATTCCAGCAACCGTTCCTTATATGTTTTAGCCTCCAGTCCCCTAATCATCTTTGTTGCTCTTCTCTGTACTCTTTCTAGAGTCTCAACATCTTTTTTACATCGTGGTGACCAAAACTGGATGCAGTATTCCAAGTGTGGCCTTACCAAGGCATTGTAAAGTGGTATTAAGACTTCACGTGATCTTGATTCTATCCCTCTGTTAATGCAGCCCAGCACTGTGTTGGCTTTTTTGGCAGCTGCAGCATACTGCTGGCTCATATTTAAGTGATTGTCCACTAGGACTCCGAGATCCCTCTCACAGTTACTACTATTGAGCAAGGTACCCCCTATACTATACCTGTACATTTGGTTTTTCTTGCCTAAATGTAGAACCTTACTTTTTTCACCGTTGAATTTAATTTTGAATAATAGAAATTATGGTCCTCCTTACCACTTGCCAAACTATCCCCCCCCCCAAAGGCTGGTATGCTATGCAAAGCAAAACATCCATCTCCAGTATAATTGTCATTTTCAATAGACAGTTTTAACCTTACATCTGGACCTTACATGGAACAGATCAGCTGGATGGTTGCGGGCTGGTGTTTCAGAATGATACTCACCAGTTCAGAGAAAGGGAAAAATCAAGCAGGAGCAGCAGGGAACATCTTGCAGGAATGGGGAACAGGCCAGAGAGGTGATAGGGAGCATTTTGATATCTCGGTGCCGATACTGATTCTGTCTGCCTTTGGAGAGATTATATGGATGAAAAAGTCCCCCACCCCCAAACATTTTGCAAGAGCACTCACAATAGGTTTGGAAATTCCCAGGACTGTTCAGCAGTTCAAAAAGCTTGGCATCTTGAACTTGATGACATAAAGCAAATTATTTGGGGAATTCATGAGGGTTAATTTGCACAATCCAGAAATTATAGGAGATAAAATAAGTATGCTGTACTTAATTGTTTATTTCTAGTTTGTTTTCTTTCAAGGAGGTGAAAGCTATGGCACTTTAAATCCCTCTCAGGTCATATTTTTTTTCCTTGAAATCAAATTATCGATCATCTTTGGGGAAATCTATATAAGGCTTTGTTCCTACAGTAAATGGGACATCTGGGTATAGCTTCTACAAAACACTGGGGATCAGTGCTGATCTTAATATTAATAGTGTTGTTGGTGTGTGTGTGTGTGTGTGTGTGTGTGTGTGTGTGTGTGTGTGTGNGGTGGTGGTAGAACCTTGAATGCAATACATTTAAGCTCTTTTAATAGTTAAAGAAAATGCTATAATAAAATGCCAGTGCCATTTTAATAGTAGGAGGAAAAAAAGCATATAAAAAAAGATTAGAGAGCTAAAAGTTCAGAATGGTGGCAGGGATTGAGAACAAAGGTAGAGAAAGTCTCCCAATATCCCCTCAGCACCATCCTGCTGGCTTTTAGGAACATGCTCAAGAACTGGTTCTTCTCACAGACTCTGGACTAGGAAGGGATACCATTGAAGTAATCGTGTATGTGTAGTGTTTAGGACTGATTTTCCTCCTCAGCCTGGTCAGATTTTTAATGCAATGTGTATTTTTATTGCTTTTTACCCTGTAAATTAAGAGAACCATTTGGTAAGTGAGCAGATTTCAGAAATCTGCTAAATACTTTTTTTCCCTCCAGAACCTCAACAGTTTTGACAACAGCCCAGCTCACTGCATGTTTTTCACTCCATATATTGCCTTCTGGCTTCTGGGGAAGATGAAAAGTGACCTGTGAGTATTTTAAAAGTGGAGGTGGGTACAAAAATCATGTTTTTCTTTGGTTTCTGTTTCCTGCCCTCCACATATAACGAATGCTCTGGCTTTTAGGTATTCTCCTTGAGACAAGAGCAGGACATCCAGATTATAAATGAGGGCAGTTGTTTAAAATTGTATGTTAAAATATTCAGGCTTTATTTATTTAGAAGAATCACAATTTTTTTCCCCATTAGAAACACAAATTCTGGATGCACATTCCTACATTGCAGTGTTAACCTGAATCCAGCCTAACAAACAAAGAACATTTTTAAAAATTAATGTAGAAATAACATTCACCAAAACTGCATAGCATAGGGGTGTTTTATAATCTAACCTTTCACAGAATAACAGAAAACATCCCTAGGTGATCATGGCATTCATGCTACCATTTTCTATATGGTATGGATAATCAACATTAGATATGCTGTGGGGAGGGAGGAAGGAATGAATGAGGTAATTTTCAGTGTACACAATGTTGCAGCTTACCTAGTCACTGAATGAACATATTTTCTGGGTTCACACAATACACCAAATTATAAACTAATCAAACAGGTTGAACAACACGCTGTGCCATCAGCTTTAACCTAGCTAAGCTTACCAACTTGCTTAGATACATTGACAAGGCTTTAGTTAAGTGTGTTGTGTCCACATAACTACAAAGTAATCCTAATGTTAGGCAGAATGTAAAGTCAAGTCTGGTCAGCTGTATACATCAAATAGTTGCAATTGCTAACTTATTGCATAAAAATATCCCAACCACCTGCTTCTGAAGAAAGACTCTCGGTCTGCCTACGCAGACAGTAAGGATTTCCACGTCAGTGCTGTTCTTTGAGGCCCGTTTTGGGTTTAAATTTCATTGTGTTAAATGCTCCCTCCACAGCTTTAGGTAGATACATTGGATATCTTTGCAGTTTCTTTCTGGAACTGAACGTTCTTCCTTGGCTTTTTCCTTTGGATTGGCTTGTGATCGCTTCTACTTGGCTGGTGTCTTGGGAATATATCCGAGGGGCACGAAGGATCCAGTTGGAATGCAGGCTATGTTCTCTTGAACTAGAAACAACTGAAACATGGAACCAGACTTAGTATAAATGTATCTTTACAACAAGGATGAGGGTACAGAATAGGTAGGTACTGCTTAGGTTCTGCACACAGAAGGCTCCAAGTTCAGTCTCCAGTATTTCTTGGAAAGAGATTTAAGAAACCTGCTGCTAATAAAACATGGCTAGAAGGATCAAAGGTGTGACTCAAGAGAAAACTGCTTCCCATTCTTCTGAACTAGGGATAGGCTAACTAGGTCAGGATCCAACTCCCTCACTATGCTCTAGGTCCCCCAAAGCACTCCAAGATTGGGTCACTGAAATTAAGTGTTAATATGACTGAATGATTGTTTGTTAAGATGTCAAATTAAGAGTAGAAATGAGTATGCCAAACCTCAGTGAGGAAAAAAAACCATTTCCACCTTTAAACCATTTGTAGCTTCCAAATCCATAGTATTGTAGGTACTTTATGAAACTATTTTCTGGGGTGTTTATATAATCTAGTCACCTGATATAACTATTTTCACTATTAATTTC